GGACACCGGTTCCAGTTGTATTACAATATCAATCCGTGAGCTAGATTTAGCGCTCCGTTGAAAAGAGTTTCCAGGCGGGTTAGCCTGACGAGGATGGAAAGACCAAAGGGAGGCATTTCGCTTAAACCATCAAAGATATTGTGCGGACAGGCCAAAGCTTATACTCAGGGCGAATCTGGGATTCGAACTACAACCAGCTGAACCTGTAACAAATAAGGAACGCAACTCTTCACAGCAAATTGTGGCGCCTTTGTTACAACCCTTAACGTAAAAATTACTCTTAATGTAAAACTGTTTACATTAAGGGTTACGCGTTCAATCTTAATGTAAAAAAAAATACATGAAGAGAAACAACCCGCAACCCTTAATGTAAAAATTATTTTTCTTACATCAAGGGTTAATATCGTTCATATCGCCCCTTAATGTAAAATATTCTTATGAACAATGTTTGATTGGAAATATAGGATATTTTTATTTTTTTTCACTATTTTTATTGTTTTTGCTCGGTTTCTTGCAATTATTCGTGATAAGCGACAGCATGAGAAACTGACTTTGCTCAGATCTGAGAACAAGAGGGGCTATTATAAGAATGGCAGGCTCGTCATTGAGGACATGCCAGCTACTACTCTGGAAGGTGATGAGCATCAGTTGTCGCGATCGGCTCCATTCGCAGATCGCGATTCAAGTGGAGCATCGTGGATCACTGTGGATCAGGAGCGGGTGTTGCCGTCAAGGTCGAAGGTTATGCAAAAGCATATCTTACATTGCAAGGAATATAGAAGATTTAACCAACAAACTGTCCGACATTGGCTTTGTTTCTTTTGTATCTGAAAATAGTTGCTTTATATGAAACATAGTCAATAGAAAACTACTTTAGTGACATTTTGTTTTTGTTTACCAGCCACAGAGGTTAAAGTTCGGAAGGTATTCGGGAAGAATACTTTTGATAAAATATTCACTGGTAAGATATGTTACTGATGTTCGATACAGAGAACATGTTATTACTATTCTGTTGGATAAAAGTATGTTTGGTTTGAGTAGAGCTACATTATGCTTTGTTTACATATATCCAACCGGAGAGATCGACCTGGTATGATAACAAAGATAGACAAAATGGGATAGAGATTTTGCTGTTTTTTTTATTGAGTACACTGGAAGAGTACCCATCTGTTTCTATCATTGTACTTGGATTTGTTTGTTTGTTTGTTGTTTAACGCCGAACTCAGCAATATTCAAGCTATATGACGGCGGTCTGTAAATAATGGAGTCTGGACCAGACAACCCAGTGGTCGACACCATGAGCATCGATCCACGTATTTGGGATATGATGACATGCATCAACCAAGTCAGCGAGTCTGACCACCCGATCCGTTAGTTGCATTTTACGACAAGCATAGTCGCCCTTTATGGCAAGAATGGCTTGCTGAAGACCTATTCTACCTCGGATCTTCACGGGTCCATTGTACATGAACAGTAGAACCGGTCTGAAGCGGGTCTATGTGGAGAACGATGTTATTCACCATGTTGAAAGGAACAATTAACTAGTATATTATCTTATACAATTTTGCCTTAATGGAAAGATAATCATGTGATAAATTACTAAATAACTTTGGAAAAACTCTATTGGAAATTGCTCAATTCTGAACATACTTATTGTGAATGGAAGATTTGGAACTGACTATCAAATCGGTGACTGTACGTTAAGTGGGCTTTTAGTGAGTGAGTGAGTGAGTTGGGTTTAACGCCGCTTTTAACAGTTTTCGGTAACACCCACGAACACGGGTATGGTGCCGACAAACCTAGCTACATAATCGGGGCGAACCGGAATTCGAACCCACAATCATAGGTTTGCAGGCGTGCCCAAGGGAAGCAACTCTGCACAACGAATCGCGGCGCCTTAGCCGATTGGGCCATCCGTGCCCCCTATTGGGCATTTAGGGTGTAGTGTGATAGATTATGGTTTAGCATCGAGTGACATGTTCCCCGATGCCACTATTTAAATGCCTTCAGAAGAATTTAAAGATAACTTATACCTTAATAAGTATTACAAACGACGACCGCAACGACCCAACCCTATTGATATACAAGACTGGGGGGACTATTTATCGTCGCTGAATTCTGAACCAGTGGGTATTCAGGATAATCTTGGTGAGGTGGATGACATAGTGACATGTCGAGGTTATGTGCAAGAACTGACAATTGACATATTAGAATCCCCAATAACCAGATCCGAACTTTTTGAAAGCACCAGTGCCAAGAAACATAATAAATCAGCTGACCTTGACGACATCTATGGAAGCCATTGTACACACATGATTTGTGTGCTAAAGTGGGTAAAATGTTATAATCCATGTACAGTAGTGTAAAGGTTTGGGTTCGTTCAATCAACAGAGTATCTGGTATAATTGTTGCTTCATGTGTGTGAGGCAAGGGTGTATGCTTTGTCCCTTTTTGTCTTCAGTTTTTTATGAACGAATTGGTTACTGAAATGGAACAAAAATGTCGTTTTGGTGTTAAGTTCCATCCGGAATTTATTTATATTTTTCTACTTCTATTTGCGGAAGACCTTATTGTGTTTGGCAATACTGTCAACAACGTACAAATGAAGTTGAATTCTTGCATGATGACTGTTGTAAATGGGAAATGCCAGTCAATCTATCGAAAACAAAAATAAGGGAGGTCTATCACGTTATGAAAAAATGGTATTATGATGGAAATGCGTATGAAGTAGTTACTGGATACAGTTATCTTGGTTTGTATTGTAGCAACAGATTACTGAGGTCGAATGCTTAAAATATAATAGGCAAGAAAGGTGTCCATGGTCCTGTTGATTAGAATACATTCCTTGAAACCACCCTCGCCTCACTTTTACTTCAAATGTTTTGATACAAATGAGAACGTGTTGTCTCACGGTAATTGTTCCTTAAAATAGAATGGAAGAATTGAGAATAAATGATGACATCAGAGTTGCTAGCGTTCCAAGATTTATTCAGGTGCAGTGTGTAAAAAACATTTCAATTCAATTAATCACATAATCATATCTAATAATCATAAATTATATTATTACAAATAATTGTCATAACGTCGTGGTTTCTTATGACATAACTACTCAGAATATAAATCAATAAGCATTTCGCTTCAATCTTAAAACATATCAAATAATCACCATTACATTATACACAAATAGATCAGGATGGAACTTTAAATAACGGCACAATAACAAAGACAACACATATGATTCACAATGCCAATGTCAGCTGAAATAATGCAACATTAATGGTAGACGTATTTGTACATGTATTACGGTAATGCAGTTTCGCGCATTACCGTAGTTCTTCTAATACAAGCGTTATTTAGCTACTTTATGCAGAGCTCGCATACGAGCATTGTGCATTCAACTATTAACATCAAGTTACAGGTATTTCATTCCCTATCAAGAACAAAGCTGACTTGACTATTAACTAAGTCCAGCATTACTTCTAGCAATGAATCTACACATATAGACGACATGACATATTTTACTTTACGATGTTGTTGATACTTGTACTAGATTTCTTATTTATCAAACGGTTATCAAGATGTTGATCAAGAATAATTAATTTCATATTTTGGTGATCGAAATTACTACAACCTACATAAGTGATTACAACCTACATAAGTGATACCTATAATGGCATAGTGCGCATTGAAAACATTCCTAATCGTTATCGAAGATTAAAAATACATTAAACAATAACTTAACAATGAACCAACGCATGTGGTTGAAAATATACAATGTTCAAGAAATCTAAGACAATAATCATGAAATACATTCAACATATTTGAAAACAACAATTAAAACAATCTGAGACAATAATCAAAATACACATTCAACATGAATGAAAACAACCATTGAAACATCGCATGAAAATGTCACCTTAAAATAGAATGGAAGAACTGAGAATAAATGATGACATCAGAGTTGCTAGCGTTCCAAGATTTATTCAGGTGCAGTGTGACTTGGTAGTTACTTACTTACTTTGGAGATTTAACGTGCGCTTTCCGACTGATGCGTATTTCGCACACGGGCCAGGCCAGGTCAATAAATGTGTTTCCGAAAGGGGCGAAAGTTGTGTTTGCAACCAAAGAGGGGGCTTTACGGGTTGCTTATATAGAATTAGGGAATTTTGAGATTTGGAATCGATGCCGATGGGGTTGGGGAGGAGAACTAAGGGAGCTGGGTATGGTGGATGTTTGTTTGTTTATGTGATTTTGATTTGGTAGATTATTGTGTTTTTGGATGCGTTTTATTAGTTCTGTTTTGATTAAGAATACGCCTAAGGCCTTGAAGTTTTCTAGTTTATTTTGTGGGTTTAGTATTGCTTCTAGAGTGAGAGCCTTGTTTAGATTGAGGGTGGTTTGTAATGCGGTTCGATGTGTTAGGTAGTGTGGGCAGTGGATGAGTGCGTGTTCTGTGGTTTCTAGTTGTTTGCAGTGTGGGCAGTTACCTGTAGAAGACACAACACAACCCCGGCTGCAATTTGTAAAACCTTAAAGGAAAACATTTGGGAAAACATTAGAAACATAACACCCTTCTTCGCACATCTGTTTTTGGCAATCAACAGAAGGAAGGCACGTCTTTCTTCCAGCTGTTTGTCGTCTCTAGACCAGGTACGCCTACAGCCTTGTAGAACAAACTTTTACTTAACACGAGGTTATCACGTAGTTACCACGTGATATTTTTGCTGATTGTGAAAATCTTCACCAAACGAGCGTATCAATATCTGTAGAATCATGATATGTCAATACTGACCATCAGCGTCTGTGATATCAAATTCTGCAGATGGTCCGGTTGGTAGATGTGTAATCGGATTTCCAGTGGGAGGTCACACAATTAGCACTGTTCCAGAATGTCGGACGCTACCCACATTATCGACGTTACTGAAAATCAACATGCATCTTTAATTTTTTTAAGCTCGGAGACTATATAAGTTTCAGCAATTGTCTGGAGGTACACAGTACATCAAGATGTCTCCTCGTGCAGTGATCAGCTTGCTGGTGGTTTGCCTCTGTCTGGCCTCCACAGAAGGAAGAGCATTCAAAGTAAGTGTAGTACACGGCAACTTATCTAACGTTGTACCGAATGCCATGATTTACACATTAACTGACATTAAGTTGTCCTCTTCAGTACAACTGCAGTTGGTCGTCATTCAACTCATAGCTTACAACTCTTAGTGACAAACAACAGTACGCCAGTTACAGAGAGCAAAATATCCACTCTGTCATGCAACGATAAATAATTGTAGAAATATAAAAGAATTGGATGTTACTTAACTTCTTTTGAGTAGATAATCTAGATCTCTATTGCAGAACGAAACACGTAATGTCATTGTTCACACTCATGTTATGTATAGTTTATAAGATCAAGAATTCTGGGCTGTTAAAACTTTTACAGCGATTTTTTATTGAGTGATATTTTGCAATGTCATGAGATCATACTGAGGTTATTCAAAAGCCGTTGAATATACAAACCATACCTTTATTGACGCTTCACATATCCACAGTCAATATATATTATTTTTCTCCAACAGAATGAGAAAGCACGGTTGAAGCGACAAGCTGGAAGTAGTAAGTTCACAGCTTTAACGGGCTAAAAAATGAAAACGCAGCTAAATATGAAACGCCATCAGATATCCCGAACAGTTTGGACCTAACTACGTATAACATTGATCGAGTTTTGATAAATATGTACCTGTTGTACAGTTGGGACAAGAACACTGCATTTATCTTCTGAAGGTCGCAAGTCGTATCATGTGATGCAAAGAAGCTGAGGAAGCAATTGAAAAGTGGTCCAAAATCTATGTTAGCAGTTACAAAGCGTCATTAGTTAACCGATTCCGGTTTCTACATTTCAATGTGGTTATTTTACACAAATAAAAATGAAAATGAAAAAAGGATATGAATGTTTAAATGATTTCAAGGTGTATATATTTCATTGAGTTTTGATCAATGAGTTCATAGTTGGAAGTCTGATGATATTTTGATGAATACAATATGTACCTCTATTAATACATCAAGTAAATATACATGAACGTGTTTATGATATCGTTCAACAGGGACCTATCATTCATGGGTATTTTACCTGAAGATGGACCTTGCAGTTGAAAGAGAGGTACAACGAGACATACATGCTACAAGACTATTGAGCTGTCTTCCCCTGATAGAAGCCTATCTTTGTGTCTTAGGGGGTGTTCCCAGGAGCCATCGCAACTGCACCTTCACTACCCTTGCTGACCATGGCATGATCCAGAGCCTGCCTGGTACAGGGGAGGACTACCAGAACAACCTCAACTGCAGCTACGTCTTCAATGTGCCCAGGAACAGCAGTATTCACTTCAACTTCACCACCTTCGACCTCGAGGGCGGTAATGGATGTCCCTACGATTATGTTCGGATCAATGGTGGACGAAGATGGTGTGGAAGTACCATTAACGGGAGGCAAGGTAAGCTCAGAGAAGTGGTCGATATCAAATGAGAGTTCAACGTCGTAGTAACGCACTACATGAAATCAAAACCTTCACTAGATATTTATTTTGATTTGGGTCTCTTGTCAATAGGTTCCACTGTTTCTGTTACAGTGAACGGAACTGGTGAGGTTGTGCTGAGATTTGTCACCGACGGTTCAGTGACAAGCAGAGGTTTTGTGGCTCGCTTCAACATCAGGATGGGTACGATACACTTCTGAATGTGTGGCTATGAAAAAGATATATGATCGAGTTCGTGAGTTCGTCAAAACGTTGTCAGAAGATTTACCATTTAATAACAAACTTCTCAATACGAAGATCATTGAACATACGTGTTTTGTCATCTCATGACTCATTACTGTTTGTATGTATTCACACACAAGTTATATTGGAGTCGTTTTCCCTTAACATTTTACTTTACTTAAGAAAATGGAACATCTCCGAACACAACAGTCGCACCAGCCAACACGACCGTCGCACCAAGCAACACCACCGTCGCACCAGGCAACACCACCATCGCACCAGGAAACACGACAGTCGCACCAGGCAACACGACCGTCGCACCAGCCAACACGACAGTCGTACCAAGCAACACGACAGTCGCACCAGGCAACACGACCGTCGCACCAAGCAACACGACAGTCGCACCAAGCAACACGACCGTCGCACCAAGCAACACGACAGTCGTACCAGGCAACACGACCGTCGCACCAGGCAACACGACCGTCGCGCCAAGCAACACGACCGTCGCACCAGGCAACACGACCGTCGCACCAGGCAACACGACGGTCGCACCAGGCAACACAACCGCCGAACCAAGCAACACGACGGTCGCACCAGGCAACACGACCGTCGCACCAAGCAACACAACCGTCGCACCAAGCAACACGACAGTCGCACCAGGCAACACGACAGTCGCACCAGGCAACACGACGGTCGCACCAGGCAACACGACGGTCGCACCAGGCAACACGACGGTCGCACCAAGCAACACGACAGTCGTACCAGGCAACACGACCGTCGCACCAAGCAACACGACGGTCGCACCAGGAAACACGACAGTCGCACCAAGCAACACGACAGTCGCACAAGGCTACACAACCGTGGAACCTTCTGACGAAACAACAAATGGTAGGTCATTGTCATCTTACACACAAATAAAGCCTTCATCTGTAAAGGAAATTCATCGTCTTAATATGTGGAGCTTTGATGGACACAATTAGCTGGTAAAAAGATAGTTGATAGGGGCAGTGGGATCTTGTAAATATGTTCGTTCACGTCGCATATAAGATGAAGAGGAATTTGGTTTCAGCAACTGAAATATTAAAAAGGAATAAATTGTTGAACAAAAGCCACCCGCTATGTTATGATTTTCTAAATGCATATTATTTGCATTTTCCTACAAACACGGGACAAAGTTTAATTCCTTGATCAGAGTATAGTTCTTTATGGAAGCTTGAAGTCATACGGTTCCAGGACAATACTATCATGATCATAAACAACCCGTGAGTCATGTAAACGGTTTTTTTTGTGTTTTTATAATTATTTATACTTTCATAATAATTTCCATACTTGTGACACAGGATTTTGGCCTTGTCAATATATCCCACACATTGTGACTCATGTGTTATTTTTAGAGGAAAGAAACTCGCAGTTCTGCCTTCAGTGTGCTGTTACATGCTTGAAGTCAACTCTATTTAGTGGAAAAGCACAAGGAAAACATAGATGACCAGAGCAAGAGTTTGTCCCCAAAGTTACTTCATTTGAGGGTTGGCAAACGTGTATAATGATGCAAGTTCCCATCTCCTATTGCAGCCTGCAACTACGACACTGCCTCCCTGGAAGGCAGAATATCTCTGGCAACTGATATTGATGGTTTCTACACAAACAACGAAGAGTGTCGCATCAATCTATATTCCCCTGCTCTTCCCCACGTGACAATGATCAATTTCACACGCTTTGATGTTGAATATAATAGCAACTGTCGTTACGACAGCCTGTCAGTGAAGCTTGGAAACAACACCATCGACACACTATGTGGAAACAACAGAGGTCCCTTCGTGAAGCAATGTAAGCATACTGCAAGTGTTAATATCAATGTTAACACGGGTACATTAGTACATTTATGCATGTGTCTTCTGATATCGCCTTTTATCTTATTCATATTTGTGTCCCCCGCTCTGATATTGGTATACTTGAGATGACAGAAACAAGATTTTTCACATCACTTTTATAAATTCAACTCCTCTGTTATCTGATAAAGATTTCTATTATCCAGACTCTAACGCAGAACCACTCCTCGCCATGACATTCGTCAGTGATTCGAGTGTTTCGGGTCTCGGTTTCGCATTCGACTACCAGACTGAAGTAGGCAAGTACAACCTTCGCATCACATACTTAATTAGTGATTATCAATAAACATTTACATTAACGTATATTTATCATTGTATCATGCCCCATTCAGACCATTAAGATGAACAAATACTCTGATCATTTTAAAATGAATTGTTGGGACCAAGTTTCAAGTTGATTTCATCTCAGCCAAACAGGCGAATATCACCTCACAAGCATTATTCCGCTTTCCTCCTTGGCATTGCACTTTTCATAACCCCAAGCCCTCATTAACAGGAGAGACACTTGTTTGATCCAACGATCCCAAGCTCAGTTTCGTGTGGTCAATGACACAAAACTAAGGACATGAAACTACTTTTAGGGTGTTCTGCCTTTTTATCGAATTCAGAGTACTGTAATGCTGTGATCAATGGTACATCCGGGTCATTCGCAACTCCCCCTGGTGGCTACAGTCCCAACATGGCATGCACATACACCATCAACACTCCCACGCCAGCTGAACTCCACTTCACCTTCGAGGAATTTGACATTGAGAGTGCAAGCAGATGCATGTACGACGCCGTTACCATGGGCGAAGACAGACTGTGTGGAAGCAACCCCGGCAGCAAGACATACCGTCAGTGTAGCTCACTTTCCACCTCTATAATTTCGGTTACATGTTTATCATTTCTGCTTTCCGTTCATTTCTGATGAACAAGAAACACTAAACTAGAAACAGTTTTAGTTACTTTGAAGTATTTTGAAATTACAAATAAAAAGGTAAACCTAGCATACTTTCACATATGAATTTTTTTCTGTAAAACCTGTATTAGTACTTCCAGTAACTTTATGTTTATTGCTCCTCAGAATCTGATGGAACCTTTGTGATCACCTTCACATCTGACGGCTCCGTGCAAAGGGAAGGTTTCTACATGTCCTTCACATCATCGCCAGGTGAGCTTCACACATATACTAGTAAACGATATGGATCCGGTAATACAAGTATATTTGTATGGAAGTGCCCATAAATTCAAGTCTTAAATATTATTTAACCAATTTCTTTGTTTCAGAAACGTAAACATAGAACTATCTTTACAAATTGTGGAATCCACAATCAAATTTATCATATTTGATGTGGGGTTTTTTTGTAAACAAGATACACTGACACATTCTTTTTAACTGATATTCCTATTTTCTTTTATGCAGTGGCATAAACAGACTGACCTACACAGCGAGATCTAGTTGACAACAATATGAGTAAATAAACTCCATGTGCTCTATATTTATATTTCATCTCATTATTTCAATGAGTAAATGACGCTTTGAACTGTAAATTAACTCATCACGACGCCTTTCGCCTGTATGCCGCTATTCGCTATGCAGAGTTGTGAACCTTTGTTGCACTAGAGACCGCTGATCGACGGTTCGAAATCCAAGATTCACCCTGATTATGTTTCTAGTCTTATGTTTCTTGTGTGTTTCACCACAGAGGCAATTGTCTGAGACCTGCATCACTTTGGGTTTTCTGAACACAAGAAGCTGACACGCCGTATTGTAGCTGAAATACTCTTCAAAGCGGCGTTAATAACAACTCACACACTCAATCATAAAGTCTATTAATATGTTACAAGTCTCTATTCATCTTTCTGATGTTGGAGAGTCCAATGGGCCTATTGGAATTCATTGTGAAGGTACATACAATCCGCCATAGGGCACTATATGTAAAAACAGGCGCATCCACATTGGCAAAATATCCATAAGGATAGGCCTGGGAGACGAACTGTAACCCGGACCGCCGATTCCCAACACGACACAGACCGCAGACTGGCGTGTCTTCAGCTAACGATACTACAGTTTGGCTTTATACCGTTCTTTCACGCTTTCGTTATGCTCTGTGTGCATGTATATGAACACGTGGGCCCACATGTACAGAGCAATCTTAGTTACAAGCGATCTTAGGCGCCGAAGATCAACTTGACAACCACCATACAACTGTCCTATTCCACTTGCACAAACCGATCTTTGCACGATTGTCAGATGGCTTGGGATTCAGTTCGAATTCTTCAACGATGGAGATACGATTATCTTTAACTTGACTCCCGTCTACAGGTATCTGCAAATGCGCAAAGGTTGGTGCTCATACCAATAGTGGAACCGGTTACGACACACAACACGAACCTCCCTCCATCGCACCTTGTGACGTTTTACTAAAGGTCCCATTTATGTGATGAAAGCAATGAGTAGGATGATGTCATGTAGGGTTTTTTTCTGTATTGATACTGCAGTGATTTGTGAATTTGACATCACAACAAGAAAAAATACCTACCCATCTTTTATGGAAATATTGAAATAGGAATAAATACATGCATAAATTTGGCTCCAGGTTTAGTGGCATAATCATTGTGCAGTATAAGCAGTAATAATTTCCCTTATAACATAACACGTAAATGTAGGATTCGCCAATGGTTGTTATAAGGTCACTAGTTAAAACGCATCTATTTCGAGGAGGGGAAAGCTTTTCGTAAAATCCTAAATATATCCTATATGTATAGATTTTGCTGCTATAATAAAAGATGCTATGACTACTATGGGATTGTGAATGAAAGGGGAATAGGAATAATATATAATATTTCGGGAAAGCTAGTTGTTTAATATATATTAACTGGGTATCAATTACTGAACAACATTACATTGATAATTTTACTTTATTTTAAATGTGAAATAGGCTTTCGCTTTTTATAAATTATTTACAAAAGTTTCAAATGTCATGTGTATGTCCTTGTTTGAGGAATACTTTTATTTAATATTCATACATTAAAACCGATCGTCACTAGTCCCACTGCATGATTTTGCACTTCAACTTGTATTTAAATGTAGATTATTTTAATGATAAACTGAAGACAAATCGCAGACAGTAATGTAACCCAAAAGAAATATAGGCAGAGCTCAACGTTTTACAACATTAATACATTAATTTACGTACTGCTTACATTCAGCACGCAGCCAAGTGACTCGTGACTTATTATCTTGATACACTTACAGTTCGAATTCAACATGCAGCCCAGTGACATATCGCTTATCTCAATACACGTACATCTTACATTCCACATGAAGCCCAGTGACGCATGACTTATTTGATCCACGTACATCTTACATTCCGCATTCAGTCCAGTGACATAAGATATATCTGAATACACGTACAGCTTACATTCCACATGCAGCCCAGTGACGTATGTCTTATCTGGATACACGTACAGTTTACATTCCACATTCAGTACAGTGACATATGTCTTATCTTGATACACGTACCGCTTGTATTCAACATGCAATCCCAGTGACATATGGCAGCCCAGTTGAGTAGGCTATGCGTGAGAGAGTGAGTGAATACGAAAGGGAAAGAGGGCGAGAAGGGTGGCTTACAAATAGCGTAGCGGCCAACCCTTAAAGCGAGGCTGATTTAAGGAATAACCCCTCATCACAGTAGAACAAAGCACAACCATATTATTCTTCACAAGATGTCATTAGTGCATTAGAAAACGATGGTTGTGGTGATTTCTTTAGGTGGCAGACATGTATTTTGGTGGTAAATTGCATATTTGTGTCTAAAGAAGTCAGTCTGCATTTTGCAATGCTCATTTTATAAACAAAATCATTGTGCTGACTTAGGAAACCTACAAAAGAATAATTAGCAAAATTATCAAAGTCGAGTTATGGGCCAAAATGTGTCAAAAACAGGGGAAAAAAATTCAATTTTCATTTTCCAAATATTCCTAAACTAAAGGTAATGTTACCTCCATATTGACAACCGTGTCGTGTGATATCTCAAAATCTGCCTGAATGCTTAAGGAACTTACAATAATATCCATATATACAATATAACATTTAGTAAATGTGATCCGGACCACCATCCTGTGAAGGAAACAACAAATAATAACATAGTTTAAAAATAACTATGACAACACTAACATTCTTGTACACCAATGTGTTTATTTGAACCCATGAATCGTTTAAGTATCTTACATATATGAGCTTGAGAAATTTGATTTATCCAATATGGCGGACAAAATGGCCTCCAAGATGGCCGCCAATTCCATGGTCGTCTTCACTTTGGAATGTATGAGAACTTTACATGTCAAAATTTTGGTTTCGACCGGGAACTCCATCTAGCGTGTTATTGTCATATATAAGATAATTATCGCCTGTGTTATGTACTATAATTGCTGATTATATTGACTTACTTTAAAGTGTCAATGTGAAGTACTCATATGCTTACGGGATCGGGTGGTCAGGTTCGCTGACTCAGTTGATGCATGTCATCGTATCACAATTGCATTGATCGATACTCATGTTGTCAATCACTGGATAGACTGGTCAGGACTCGATTATTTTACAGTCCGCCGTCATAGAGCTGGAACATTGTTGAGTGCGGTGTTAAACAACAAACAAATGAACAAACAAACACTTACTTCCAAATGCTCCAATATTGTCAGAAACTCTTTACCAAATCCATTATTTTTCTCCAATGCAGTGTCAGCAATGTCGAGAAAGCTGTCTTCTTTGAATTTATAACCAGTCATCACCATAAGAATATCATGTTTCACAATGTTCTTCCAGATCACACTTACCAGCATTTAACTGCCCTTCACGATTCACTTATAAATACATTACAGAGAATACCCAGTCCAGATTAACTCAGCTCAGTGCTATTATGCTGTATCATTAAGTTACACAAGAATGTGAGTTCAAACAATTTCCATAAGATCTTATCCTTATCATTATCTCAGCTAATGTTTACTTATCTAATATGATCTCTGTCTTCATATTAGAGGTGGGCACACTCCAGCGACCCATCCAACCCTCTCTCTAACCCTCTAAACCGTTTAAACAGTTTTGGTACTTGGTGTATCATGCTCTGGGATGCTTACAATACGACAAATCAAATATTGATATTTCTACAATCCTTGCTCGACTCTTGCTTGCTGCTGTATTTATCAAAGCAAAGTGATAAAATTTCTCTTCTGACTCTTCTAGACGTACCTCGTGAGCGGGAGGGGTAATTAATGAATGACATCAATAACTATATTCCACACTTTTCATGAACATGTTATGTTCAAAGCATATTGATATTTTGGGATATTGAGCCCCTGACATGTGATAAATGTCATTAACGTGTAGAGTTAAAACACACAAATATTTTGTTCCTCTCAGCGACATAAATCCAAAGCTAAGTATGTTTAAAACCTAACACATTATTACAGTATATAAATGTGGTAACATCTTTTGACACGACCCTTAAAATTCAGTATTGCAGAACATAACAGAACAAAATATTTTTTTAAAGTTATAAAATGTCAACAACCAGGCTCGATTGTCCGCCAATACAGATTCCCTTGGGCGTAAAAGCAAAACAGCCAAAGCGAAAAATGATATGAATAGATCGCTGAAAATCAGTGAAAAAAGGTACTGTCCTGCCCTACCGGTAACACATGCCACTCATACAATTGTATGTTGCCTTCCATGCGACAGTTGTCTTTAAAGAAACCAAACGTCAAGTAATGGACCTGGGTGCCATTGTACAAAGCGATCTTAGCGCTAAGGTGATCTTAACTCCCATACCTTAACATAGACTTACGATAGTCGTAGCGCTAAGGTTGTTTTGTACAACGACACCAAGATAGATAGTCCAGTGACACCATTGTGCATTTACTGCTTTTTGTGGAAAGTAAAAACCGATATGTTAATTTTTAATTACGTCTGCCGTGAACAAGTTCAGAAGTGTGTTTGGGACGGAACATGGCATCAAAACCACAATATTGTTCTATGGCATGAGTACAGATATTTCTCGGTTACATCTCGATCATATTCTTTTTTTTGTTACTTATGACTACATTTGAAGTCGAATTAATGCTATGAGGCAGAGAACATATATATGTACCTGCAGGAACAGCAAAAGTAATAAGATAACAAAGGTGGAAACTAAACAAGGTAAGCCAACAGTTAATAAGCGCTGATAGATGACAGTAGGACTTTATCACTGGTTGGAAATAGGCAATGAACAAGGGGCAAACGGGAGGCAGGGGGTAATTAGCACTGATAGGTAATAGCAATAGAGAAAGGTGTTGAGGGATCTCAGGGTACATCCAATGTATTGGTGGGCACAGTTGGAATATACATCCTCTGGGGTTGGGACTTGCGCTGCTGGTGCCTCTGCCATTGGCTCGGAGACTGTTTACGGTTCAATTTGTCCATAGCTAATCACCTATCAGAGCCAATTAACTGT